AGGGATCTTATCACCCAATCTGCTTTGTGGTTGAAGCAGTGAAAATGTGAGCCGTGGGTTCATTTCCTCTATGACAGATCAGTGTTTGTGAGAGAAACCATCATTTAACTTTTTTACATATTTTGCAGGTCTGCTGTGAACACCACAAACAGCAGCGTTCGAGTCTATCAGTCTGAGATGAGGTGTATTGTGGTGAACGTCAGGTCAAGGGATGGTGAGACTTCACAGTTTTCATTTTTTCTTTAGGTTCTCATTTTGTTAATTTTATTTGAGAGCTGCCAACAACGCCAAAAAAGTGGTAAACACTCAAAATATCATTATAGTACAGTTCAGGGTTGTAAAAAATATTGTTTTACTACGTAAACACACAAATACAGCAGAAAAATATCATAAATAAAACTATAATAAACTCTATTTGTATGTCTTCAAATCAAATCAATATTAGTGATTCACAGTTTTAAAAATTTTATACATTGAGCTACAGTGATAAACATAGAAATAAAGTTATGTTACTATAAATAAAACATGCTCATTGTATTCCCCAGGGAGTAGACAGACCCCAGAGGGTTAAGATAAGATAAGCTATTCCTTTATTAATCCCACACACAGTGACAAAAAACCAAATACCTAAAAAAGATAAATAATATAATAAAATATAATATGTACAATTAAATACTTAGATATACAAGATACAAGATACAAAATACAAAAAGTAGCAGCAGATAACTTGTTGACAGATAACTGAATAACAGATAACTTGTCTACCTACAATTAATATCAATATGAAGTTAAATATATACTATAATATTCAGTATATTTTGACATATCTACACGACTGAATTTAAAAATATTTCCATCTAAAATGATAAAATATTTACAGATATGAATATTTTCAGTCATAATAGTTAAAATATACACATGTCGTTGCAGTTGAATCCCACGTGGTCTGCAGGGAGTCGACAATGACAGTACATATTGTCAAATCGACGCTGCATGGACTCACTGAGGATCATCTGAAGCTCAGTGATTCCACCAACACCGCCTGCAGCCTGAAGACACACTCCAACAGCACCCACGTCATCGCCGTCGTCCCCCTCAACGCCTGCGGCACCCAGATCGAGGTAACGAGGGGTCGTTTGTTCCGTCACGTTACTGGTGTTTCCTTTTTGTTTTCGTCCACTGTGTGAGGACTGAATGCCTGACTTTTTCCCCCCACAGGAAGATGACGAGTTCCTCACATTCAAGAATGAAATCACCAGCGTGGACAAGAGCACCGACCTGATCACCAGGAAGCACCAGCTGGAGGTGAACTTCTGCTGCCAGTACCCCAAACGAGGAAACGTAACACTGAGCTTCAAGGCACACAGGGAGAACGTCACGGTGTGGGAAAAGGGCTACGGCACCTTCACCTACAACTTCGAGTTCTACCCCGACAACCTGTTCCAGCAAAGCATCAACGCAGACTTATACCCTCTGGAGTATTACCTGCAGAGCAGGATCTACATGCAGATAGAGGCCAAATCTTCACTCAACAACACCGAGCTGTTCATCGACTCCTGCAGCGCCGCACCATTTGACAACCCCAACTACCAGCCAACCTACCCCATCATTGAGAATGGGTATGAAACATATTAAATGTCTCTTTTCCACTTCTAGATGATTATCTCCTCTCATCCAACAAGATGGATTTAAAAGTCGTGATTTGGCAGCGAGTGCAGAGGCGATGTTCTTATCTTTTTCTTTTTTCTTTTCTTTGACCAGGTGCAAAGTGGACCCAACTGTTGAGATCTACACACCCGACCACAACAAACAGTTCAGGTTCAGCATGAAGGCCTTCAAGTTCATTGGACTATACGACCAGGTGAGCAACGGACCATAGATTTAGTTTGATCAGGCGACTTACTAGTTTTACTGGAGAGTTCCTGGAGTTTTACACTTTTAAATGAGATATTTTGCACCAGTTATTGAGCTTTATAGATGCTGCTATGTAGATTTTGTTACTAGGCTAGCTGTATGCTAACATAAGATAACCAGCTCATTTTTAAGAGACAGATGTGAGAGTGGAGGTGGTTGAACTAGTCCTTTATACAAATTGCAATTCATCATTTTCTTTTAGATAGATAGATATATACTTTATTAATCCCTTATGGGAAAATCAGATGTCCAGCAGCTCATTAGTAATAATAATAATGATAATAATAATAATAATAATAATAATAATAATAATAATAATAATAATAATAATAATAAAGTTTTGAAAATGACTCAGATTAACAGTAATTGAGGATTAAGAGGAGCAGAGGTTTGACCACAGGAGGCAACAGTCTGTCTGCTGATATAATGACATTGTGTCTCGTTGTGTTCAGGTGTACGTCACCTGTTCAGTCCTGATGTGTGAGGCAGGAAACCCCAACACCAGGGCCTCGCAGGGCTGCATCAACTCCACGTGGACGAGCGGTCACCATCACATCGGAAAGAGAGAGACTGTCATCCAGAGCACGAACCACTTCATTTCCCAGGGCCCCCTGCGCTTGAGGAGATCGGTAGAGACCCCCGCAGCCTCAGGTATGAAAACAGGTGTTTCCTCAACAGCACACCTGCATTATTTGAGTTCGATTTTGGACACGACTAAATTCAAATTGTGTTTCTCTTTCCTCCAGTGACCAACCCGGGCCTGAACCTGAACCTGGTATTCATCGCTGGCTGCCTTCTGGCAGTCATCGGCATGATCTGCGGAGTGGTCACGTACAAGGTCAAAATGTCAAAGGTCAACTACAAACCTCTGCTTGAAAGTTAAGACAGCAGCGTTTGAAAACTTAGTCTTACATGAAGTATATCAGAATATTTAAATCTTTAGTTAGATGATTTTTTCCAGTAGGTTTTGGGGTGTTCATGTATATCTTCATTCACACATTTAAATTAATTAACCTTACTTAAACCTCATTAGAAATGTCCACAGCTACATGTGTATAAGCTGTGGACATACCGGAGTCAGGAGAAATATATCTGTGCAACTGGAAAATCATAGAACTTTAATATGAAATAACACTGATGAACTAGTACACTGATAGTACTACAGCTGCTCTGTTAATGTTCACAGGTGTGGGATGACAATTATTATTTATAACCGATTCTATTTGTATGTACTACAGTCTGATTTAATGCAAATATGTTGATTTTTATGTCAGTCATTATATTTAAGGCTTTCAATGGCAAATGAATGTAAGAAACTTAACAATAAAATATATTCACGCATATTTTTGCTTTTGTCCTTATTAATTATCTTTCCTCTCTCACACACACAAACACACAGATATTTCTAATAATGTATTATGTATGCTCTGTTCTGAAGTTATTACTGAATTTATACCATAACACTGTCCTGTTGCTGAACCTCGTCACATTTCAGAGACACGGTTTATAAACTAGAATCTGTTACATGTAGGAAAATATACAGACAACTAATTAAGCAGCAAACAACAATGTGAATCCATAAGTAAAGGAGGGTTATAAACTGTAAAGGCAAACAGCAAAACTGTCACCTTGGCAAGTGTTGTTGATGTAGCTCTGAGGTGTATAAATTAAAGACTACTACTACCAGAGGTGGTAAAATGAGACAAGACAAGACAAGATGAGATATGATAAGATGAGATGAGTTATGATAAGATAAGATGAGATGAGATGAGATAAACCTTTAAGGATCGCCCGTAGAGGAAATTCAGCACAAAGGCACAAATGTAATAAAGAAATAAAATAAGAATAGAAACAGAATCTAGAACAAATAAAGTAAATTAAAAACTATATACAATGACATAGAAATGCGAATTAAGTCTCAAGCATGTAACCACCTGATGAGCCATCGCCAAACCTCCCTTCACAAATTGCAAAAGCAAATTGTGAGCTATTAAAATACTTAATTTTCTCTCCATTGACTCATCATTTCAGTATTTGTCTAAATGATCTGCACTTTTTTATTTATTCTGCTATGTTAAATGTTCAGTAAATTTTATTTTCCAACCAGCTTGGGCAATATCCAAAATTCAATATATTAATACAGTCAAAATGTAAGTACTGGCCAAATATCACCATCATTCATTCATCATTTTATAAACCTGTATTTATATTTCTTATTTTTATTGTATTTCATTCTATTTACATTCTATTATTCTAATTACTATTATATTTTCTTATTACTATATTTATTATTACATACATTACTGCATTGCATTATACAAGATATGTGGTGTTGATGCACCACAAGATGGCGCCACTATTCTCTTTATTGTGAGTCCTACATTAATACGTATTGTTTTATCAGCAATTTCATCTGCTGCAGCTGAATGTAGGTCACTCAGTGAAGTAGTTACATTTTTATAACGTTACTCAATATTATATATTCTGTATTATCTATGATAAAGACGTTTGACCCATCAATCCGTACTGTTTACCATCATTTATGGGGATGAGTTACGGAGCTATTTGCAGCAATTTGAACATTAATGCAAAGAGGGAAATGTAGAATTTTAATTTCAGTTATATCATATTGTAATTTTACCTTTTTTGTTGCTGGAAAAAACTTCTGTAGGAGGTAATCTACAAAGAATTAAATGTTTAAAAAAAATTGCAATATGAAATCATAAGGTTTTCATGTTAGATGAAATATATGTGGATTCATATGTTGTTATCAACAGTTTACATTAGAATATATACCTTCATAAATGACAACTCAGTAAATGAAATAGCTCATGTGGCTGTAGAGGTAATGGACCGTAGTTTGACACTGTGGCCAATGAATAAAAAAGTCTTGTGGACATTTAAAAATTAAAGTTTTCTCTCTGTAACTTCAGCTGTGTGGATTCTTACCTGAGAGAGGAGCCGACAGAGGTGTTGCTTTTCCCTTTTCCTCCTGTTGCCGATCTGGGACGCGCTCCCTTCCCGTGGACTACCCGGCTAATGAGAGGCGCTAGCGACGCGGAGCCCACCATTGGCTGTCCCGACTGCCGAGGCTGGCAGGCAGTGGCGACAGGGAAGGACCGGACTCACGGACCTTTTTTTGTTGGAAATACCGAGAGAACATCGGAACCTCGGACGGAAACGAAGGGAATATAAGTTTTTATTTGCGGGTTGGATTTTTCTAAACGGAACACAACCTCGCTAACGTTCAGTGTTGGCTGGAAGTTTTCGAACCGTGATGTGGTGACGCGACTTCACCGAATCGAAGGGAAGCTAACGTTAGCCGATGCGCTAACGTTACTTGATAGATTAATCATTTCAACAGAGCTTTGGAGTTTTATTTCAGGATTTTAAACCTCTTTTTAGTATTTTTAATAATGTAAGATAAATAAGTATGAGATATTTTATCGTGTTGTCTACTTTTATACAAAATAGAGCTTATCCTTAGATAACTACCTGACGTTATCTGAGCTAAGTTAGTATATGAAACTAGCAAGCGTTAGCTACCTAGCTGGCTAGTAGCTAACGTTTAAACTGACTTCAAGCCAAAGAACTCTGCTTCAAATTAGCTAACGCTAGCAAGGCTACAACTGTTTCCACGTCACCTAACTGTATCGTCACCTGTCTACCTGTTGTTTAATGTTATTTTCGGCGAGTTGAACTTTATTTCTGAGGATGGACGTTTGTTTTGAAAAGCAAAGATAGACACTTTACTTCCAAATCCAGATATGCAATCATCGAATCACCAGCTTACTTCTTGCTAGCTTTGCTAACGTTGAGTTAGCCGGCCAAACTTGGAATACTGCCCCCTGCTCACTTTATGTGGGTTTCGCTTTGAGGCCTTTAGGAAATTATCCCTGTTTTTTTTCACGGAAGATACAGTTTTAACAGCCTTAATGCTTCCCAGCCTCTGAATGGGATTTATATCTTCTGAATGACTCTAGATATTTGTGAAGCTTGACGAGGTTGTGACATACAGTTGGAGCACCTGGACTTTGTTGACATTTACTTGACATCATAAAATAACGTGGATTTCAAAGACATTTGGAATAGCGGTATTCATCAAAGGTGAGGTATAGACACATGAAAACTGGAAAAACTTTGGGCTTAAGTTAGAGTATTGAGTTAGAAGTGACCGATCATATTTTCAGATGTGTTGTATGTGACTGAATCATAGTGGACAACACTGATTGAACTGTATATGGACTTCATGTACTCCATTATCAAACTTAATTCTCCTTTACCAAAGATTAAAATTTGATTAGGCTGATACTTGCAAATGTAATTATCAATGCTCAAAACACATCCCTCAGTCTCTGTCTTTAAAGTCTTAAAGTTTAAAGGTCTTAAAGGTCTTGTTCTTTCATTTTTACTTTTTGACGTATGCCATCATGTCCATGCTGCTAAGTTACACTGGACCCACCATCTGTCACTCCCTCTCATGGATGCTGAGTGACCCTCCCCCTCATAAACATTGTTGAGCCTGAGTGGCTTGACCTGGATATGGAGCGTTGGTTTTGTATTTTTCTCTTCATAAATTAGGTTAAGTTTGACTCCTTCCAACAGAAATACTGTTTAACCCCAGGAACATATAATCTGTATTTGTAATTAATTAAGGATGGGAGGTTGATTTTTTTTTTTTTTTTGTCTGATTAATTTGTATGTAATAAGTATGGTCCAGCTTTTGGACACAGTTGATGGAAGATACAGTTGAGTGTAGTGCACTGAACTGAACACAGTGGTTTCTGAAAGCAAATGGCTTTTGGCATATCTGGTGATGCAAAGAATAAGATGAAGGGGAAGCTCTGGCTGCCACTTATTTCCACTTGTTCCAATTTGTAAATTGTTGTTCCTTGTAGGTATGTTAAATCCAGCTCACATGATTCTTGGCTTTTTGTCTAGCAGTCTGTCTACAGGACCTAAGCCCCTTGGTGTGGAGAGTGGCTCTAATTCCCCAGAACCTTCCTGCCCTGCTGCTGGTAGATCCAGCATTACCAACAAGCTTCACACAACACAGCTTTCTTAGCTGCCTGTGATTAATTTAAGGCTGTCTGTTCTTTTCTGAACAGTACCAATGACGGTTCACTTGACTGTTTACACTGGGCAAGTGTATCGCCATAGTATTTAACCACTAGTAAGACTGATGAGCTGATACGGCTCAATTTTCCCTTCCACTTGGTTGATAAGCTTTTATAATGGCAAATGCTTTAAATGGCCTTGGAGGTGCATTTGTTTTCTGTTTTCTGTTAAATCTCTCACAGTTCTGCTTTAGAACATAGAACAATATATAGCCTATTTTAAAACCAGTTACATTTGCATTCGTGATTATATTGTTTAGAAGCTATATGTTTAAATTTACTGATCATTTTTGAATGCGTCATTGCAATGAGAATGAATGAAAATGTCCAAATTCTGGCCGTGGTAGACATTGAAGAATCCCAACCAATACAAGCTCAGCTCTGCTTGGACAGGTGTAATATTTTAGAGTTAAATTCGTTTGTGTTGTGACTTTTACATAAACATGGATGGGCTCTTATATAAATTGCTGATGTCAGTGATAGATATCCTCTGGCTTTGACATAAGATTCTTATGCTGCCACCCAACAACAGAGAGTGTGAATTTAATTTTGTTCATGGTTCTCTACAATAAATAATCAAGTATCTTCATACTGACAGTTCTGTACTTTTTTTTCTCTCCTTCCTAATTCTCTTCTTCCTTCTACCTCCAAACTGTCTCTCCTCCCGCTCTCCTTTGGTCTTACTGCTCTCATGGTTGTAGATGATGTGCGAGGTGATGCCCACCATCAGCGAGGCCGAAGGGCCCGGCGGGGGAGGCGGCGGTGGTCGGCGCGGCTCTGGCTCCCCCCTGCAGTCGGACTCGGAGGGTCACTTTGAGTCGCTGATGGTGTCCATGCTGGAGGAGAGGGACCGTCTTCTGGAGACTCTGAGAGAGACTCAGGAGAATCTGGGCTTGACTCAGAGCAAACTGCACGAAGTGAGCCACGAAAGGGACTCACTGCAGAGACAACTAAACACTGCCCTGCCACAGGTGAGTGAGAACACAGAGCTGGATGATGATGATGATGATGATGATGATGATGTAGTAAGTCTGTAGTTTCAAACACTTCACTGATAAGACCGGAGAATCATGTCAAATAATACCAACACCAATAATTTTTTGTGTTTAGTTGTAGCAGCTGGTTTAGTAGTTATTATTAACAGACTGAATAAAAAATTATTAAGCCTAAACAGTGCAAATAGTCTAATAAATAAAAGGCAACATGTCTCAGAACATGAACTCAGTTGCATTATGCAAGCTAAAAAATAATAAACTAAAGAATAATAGGATTTCAAGTCAGATACAGGCTGTATGCAAACTGTAACCAATGAAATAAATATGACCTCAGCCCTGTGTGCATTTTCAAAAAAAGAAAAATTCATGGCATGCATTGCAGATGGCGTACATTATATCAGTCTCACGCACTTGTTGTTTTGTTTTGGTGGCCTGTCAGTGGGAGGCAGGGCTACACTAGACCGCACACAGCGCTTCTCTCAGCCGCAGACGCCAGAGTATTAACCACAGGTGATGGGTTTGAAGGTGATTGGTGACGTCACGTATTTTTAATGAAAACTGGCTGATCAATCGGGGCGTCCCTATTTAACTTCCATTCCTGGTAGTAATCTCATTTTACCAAAGTGGGGCCGTGTCTGACTCATATCCGACCCGTACAGACAGACCGCTAACACGAGCCTGACCCGTGTCACTGTGTCAGCCTGAATGGGAGTGTCTTGTTAGCAGCGCTGTTAGCTCAAGTAGCAGTTTCTCTCTAGGATGACAGCTCTTACAGATCTTTGGCTCCCACAGTGGACAAAGTGATCCCAGAGTCTGGCATCATATTGTGAGTTGTATGGCTGACTGACTGCAAGGTGCAGTGGGGTGTGCACCAAGGCAAATTAGGTCCATCGTGGCACACTGTCAGCCATTTTACTACGAGTAGAGTCCGCAACAGTAGAGTTAGATAAAATGATCATAATCATTCTCTGAGATGATCTGTTTGTGGATTTAAAAAAAAAAATCAAGCTTCAAATGAGTGAAGAAGAAGAAGAAGGTCATGTTTGCAATGAGAAACTAATTTGGTCTGAAAAAAAGATACAGAGTAAAAAGTTAAAAACTGTATGTGTATATAATACAAGAACTTGAGTGCATGCAATTAAAATGCAATAGTTTCTGCTATTTGCATACTGTGGAGGGGATCTTGATCCCAACCCAACCATCTGTCTCTGTTGTATTATTGTCTCATGTTTCACCCTCCATGGTCTTAAATTTAAAACAAAGGGATCAAGTTTCCAGCTTTTAATGATGCATAAGAGGCCAGTAATCAGTTCAGCGTTGTTGTAGTTTCGGTTGAACCGACATCCAGTTTATTAAGTTAACATGGTGTTTAACTCGCACGTTATTAAATGTGGGGGGGGGGGGGGGGGGGGGGCTGAGAGGCATGCAGAGTATGACAGATCACAGTGCTGGAAGCAGAAAGGACTGTGGATTGTGAGGCTGCATGTAGAAAACAGAGCAGAGGTAGATGCAGATAGAGGCTTCAACTTTCCTGGAACATCAGATGGTAAGACGTGATGTTAAACACGTCTGTGTGATGCCAGGGCTGCGTCTCTGCTGCTGTGTGTTGCACAGCCAGGAAAACTAGATCCAGAGTCAAACATTCAGACTCTGATTTGCTCAGTTGACACTTAATGTAGTGCAGAATAAATATATGGAGATAAACATGTAAAAGTAAAGCATTGCCATCGCGAGCATTAACACAAGCTAGTGTGTTTATGGATGTTGAATTGATGGCGGCGTTGAAGATGAACTACGTGCACCGTGTTTACATACTATGTAAAGTAAGAGTCAGAAGCCACCAGACTTTGTATACACGGCACAATCAAACTGTTCTTATTAATTAATTCTCAAATGTTCATACATGCAATTAATAGTGAGGTTGTCAGTTTGAGGATCACTAAAACAGACACATAAATGTAACCTGTTAAAAATACATAGATAATACTAGGGCTGCACAAAAAAAATCATATGATTATTTTGGCAGATACTGTGATTTCAGTTGGAATGGTTTTGGTTTTTGCATTTTCATTCTCACATCTCACAAATTTAAAAATGATGATGATGTGATTTTTGTCTTGTACCAAACAAACATGTTCCTTTACGTCTGGAGAATAGGATTTGTAGGCTGTGGCGTCTCTGTAGCACCACAACACTGATGCTGCCAACAGTGGACAACAGTGTCGTCACACCTTTTACCTTTATCCAAAAAAAAAAAAAAAAAAAAGCTCCTGTTATTTGAATATTGTATTTGGTCAAATTGCGATTTCAATTATATTTCAATTAATTGTGCAGCACTAAATAATACAAATAAAATGAATTGGTTAAATTGATCTCAGTCAGTTCATACGTGTGTGTGTGTGTGTGTGTGTGTGTGTGTGTGTGTGTGCGTGTGTTCATGCACGCCACTGCTTATACTCCAGCTGTGTTGTCAGCTGATCATCTGGCGTTCCGCCAAGCCTCCTGGGATTTGTATTTAGAAGGCAAGAAAATCCAGCTGTTAAAAAAGTAGAGGCACTTTATATGGTGTAATCTGGTGTTAATACATATATGTGCAAAATTCTTTTGTTTTATTTTATTTAAAACTCCTTTTTGTTCTTACTGATTCCCCTTTCAGGTCAGATATTTAGATAACAAAAGGATCTTTATTCTGGTAAAGATAGAGGTGCATGTTTGTGTGTGGAGCAGTGACTAATGGAGAAAGGCCGAGAGAGAGTGCATGCAGTGCACAATTAACTTTTGAGTGAGCGAATATTAAACACAGGCTGCTCGTGTGGACTGTAATCTGTAGTGATACAAGTATTAAAGCACTCGAACAAAGATGGAGAGGTGGATTTATTTTAGGAGCCACGATACAGTTAATGAAGACAGATGTTTCAAAAGAGTCTTCAGCCTGAATACGACCTCAGTCTGTCGTCCTCCTCCTCTTCCTCTTCTTCTTCTTTCCCTTGTTCTTTTACCTTCTCTCTCTCTCTCTGGTGATCCATCTTTCACACTGTTGTGGTGATAGCTATGCAGATGGCCATGCACGCTAGCTGGTATCTAAACAAACTGACACGCTGCTGTTTTGATGCATGATGTAGTCATGTCAACCAGTCCTGGAGGATAGCTATGTATGTCCTTGCAGATACGTAGCCTTTGTTTGCAATAAGCGGAGCTGAAATTGAATTTTTGTTACGGGTACTTTGAATTCGGTTCTAATTTGCAACTGAGTTTTGTTTCCCAACCCCAACTGTAACAAAGATCTCAACTTTGAGTGTCGACTAATATAAATCTGCTACTACATTGTTAAAAAACTTTAATTGGCTTTTCCACATATCGTTTAATCTTTTTTAGCAAAATTTCCTTTTAATACATTTTCAGATCAATGTGAGGTTGTCAGTATTGAAAGCTCTTATATAAAATGCTGGGTCAACATTAAAAATGTCTTGTGTTGCATGTTTTGACTTTGTATTGCTGGAGTTGCCTGTTGTGTTTACTCCGACACATGTCGCTCTAGGTGTCTGTCAAGTCGTGTTTCCATCCCTTACGGAGAAGAGATTAATGAATGCATACACTCGACACACAGTTGTGCAGGGACTCTTGTCTGAGATGATGTGGCAGAGTGTCTGTGTTGGAGAGAGTTGAGGTCTTCAGGCTGGAGTAGGAAGGTAAAGGGGAGGTGAAATCTCCTCCCTTCTTCCCTCCCCCCTGGTGAGAGTACCCTTCGAGTGGAATGCACAAACATTCCTGGGCGGCTCGCTCACATGTCAACGGCTTTTTCAAACTGCAGTCGTGCCCTGTCGGATGGTGCTTATTTGTTCTATTTGCCTTCTATTTTTTGGTCTATGCATTCTGTGTGCAGTCCAACTCTGATCTGACTCTCCATCAATCAAATGGCATCTTGAGGATAGTTCATTGACACCAGTTGGGTAGTCCAATTTTAGGGCCCACATGTTGCGGTAAAGTAAATCTCAGTGCCTCTGTGTCAGCCAAGGCTTGTAATAGTTTTGCTTGAAGTGGGTATCGCTGTGTGTGTTGTTTGTCTGCTGGCAGTGAACATCCAGCTGTGTTGTACAACTGCGGCGAACATTGTTTAGGCAGTAAAAGAGAAAGAAGTGGTTCGGTTCGCTAAACGTTCGGTGTTGCTTCGTTCACACTTTTTTCTCACCAAACTTGCAAACGTGGTGCCACCGCAACCACTAATTTCTTCAATCTTGTGACCAGATGACATTATCAAACATATGAAATGCCCCTTGCTCGTTTTTATCCAGTTAAATTCAGTGCAGGAGAAATTAGGTAACTTTATATCTGGTGAGGGTTATTATATTAATTTAATATAACTTAATACATGTAAATTTTTATCTGAAAATTGCATTGTTTTATCCAACATGTGAATTAAAGGTGCTATATGTAAGTTTTCGCTATTGCTAAATAGCTAACGTTAGCATTAGCAGCTGTTTACTTACCAGTCTAGAAGAAATGTTTTGAGTTCAGTATCAAACTTTGTCCTTTTAATCACCAACATCTGTCTCCAGAGGTGGAAAGAAACCCTTGTTTTGCTTCTTTTCCTCTACTGAAGTTAGCATGCTAACCAGCTAGCCCCGGCCTGTCTCATCACTTCAATACCAAGTCACTGTAGCTGCTCAGAGGACGTATTAAAACCTCTTGTCTTGTAAACACAATGGTCGCTGAAGCTCTCAGAAAGACTGGTAAGTAAACTGCTGCTAATGCTAACGTTAGCAATGTAGCAATGGAAAAAACTTATATATAGCACCTTTAAATGAAAAGTGAAATTCATGAGAAAGAGGAGCTCCACTGATATCTCACCCTCTTCACTGATAAGATTTATTACTTTATGATGTGTCAGATGAGTGAACACCTCGTGTCAGTGACGGCAGAGTCTTTGAGCTGCTGCCAGTTCTGCCAGTTTACAGCAGCTTACTGCACACCTAATA